GTCTAAGCCTATCAAATAGTTCATTTAACCTCATCTCCTATGTACCACAATGATGTGAATTCATCACTTGCATGGCATTAAATCAATCATGTACTATGTAGCACCCTTGTTAAATCAGATAGGGAATTGCTTTAATGAACAGGTGATAGATAACTGCTAGATAATTGCTTCAAATCTTAAAAGTGGGATGTTTTGCCTTAAATATACTTTTTTTCATAATCACACACAAAATAACTCTTTTTGTTCCTTCCTGTGTGTTTGTTGTGTTAAAGTCCCTTCAGGTCCTCGGACAGTCTGTGCTGTCAGGATTACACCTGTGAAAAGCATGAAAGGCTCTCCTGACCTGATTCCCACCCCAGGTGATGCATCCATGTGGCTCATCAATGTTTCAGCTACTACAGTTGTGGAAACCTCATACTCACACAGAAGACATAGAATGTGGTCTTCAAAGTCACTTGTTGAGAATTGGGTGTTAATTTAACGGGGGAATAAAAAAAATACTGCATAGAGCAAGCTTCAGGCGCTCTACTTTCACCTCTGGCGGGGTGCTCGTGGTAATTAGTTTTACAGGACAGCAGGATATTAATTTGATGGCCTGGTTTTGATGTAACAGTTCTATTTTGGCGATTTGGAGCATGAGGTAGCAGTAAGTTGGATTCTCAGCAGCAAGACGTTCCTTAACAACCACCAAAATAAATAAATAAATAGCAGCTAAAGTGAGATTTTGAATGTTTTCAGATTTGGACCCGAGCAGAGTTTGCAAAGGGAAAGGCGTGGTGACCCTAAGGGCCACTCTCGTCCACATCGATGATGAGGACTGCATCAGCGATGAGCCAAACGTCATCTCAACACCAAGTAAGTCAGGACAGCTGCCACAGTTGTTTCGTCACAGCTCTCCACATGATGAAGAGAATATTAAGAGGTTAGCAAGAATAACATGGCCGCGTGTGTATGTGTGTGTAACAGGAGCACATCCGTGTAAAATGTGGACAGAGGATGTGAGTTTGGCCGTAATTTAACTGGCGTTTCGTCATGTTTTTGCAGGATTATATAACTACTCATCTTTTAAAGTGTATGCTCAGCTGGGCACGCTCAGAGCCGTGATGAAGGCCGACTGCTCATATTTTCATACAAGTGTCAAAGAGGTCTTTTGTTGTGGCCTGCCCACGCTGCACTTTGGAGCAGGCAGCCTTAACTGTGGGCTCGTTTGTTGTGCAGAGCGGAATGGAACCGGTCTGGAGGTTAGCCAAGGCTTTTGGGGAGATGCTTTAATTGTTGTAGAGTCTGAATATAAAGGCCAGTGGAACAAATGGCCTTAACAGCTAACTGAATAGGCACTTTGTTCTTGTGACAAAGTTCAGAGATTGTGGGAGAATCCTTCTTCTTTTTTTTCCGGGGATATTAACAGCCCCTTGCATGAAAACCACTAAGGAAAGCATTCACACCCTGCAGAATGAAATGGAGATTTATTTTATCTGCAATTATCTGTTATGATTTGCTGTCATAAGCTCGGTCAGAGAATTTACTTTTTTGCATCGTCCCCAGTGTTTTTGTTCTTGCCGCGCTGGCTGCCAAACTAAGAGAGTTTTGGACCCTTTTTAGGTGGCTGGACAAGCCAGATTAATGGAGACAGCTCTAAAGCAGGACTGGCTGAGGGTGGCAGCAATGACACAGCCGATTTACCTCCTGTAAGCAACACTCTGTGCCAGGTACGTTTACTTCCACCCCATTTAACACACGATCTTGGTTTGATTTTATGAGCACTGAGTGATCTTCTTATTTTACGGTGCTGGTTAGATGTCTTTTTTTTCTTCTTGTTTTTATTACAGGACAGTTTTTCTTTCTCTTGACTTGTAAACTTGTATCTTCTGTCACTTTCAGAACAATTCATCTGAGAGCATAAAAGAAAATCAAGCTCCGTTCTCCACTGACATTCAGAACTCGGTGACATCGACTCCCAGCTCTGTTTATCCTTGCACCAGCATAGTTAACCCCACCATAGTCCTGCTACAACACAACAGAGGTGAGCACACCTGTCTGTAGGTTGGGGGCGACAGATATTAAGAAGCTTAAAATTGCTTGTGTGCCCTTTTAGGGAAGCTTGGTGGTATTAAGTCATATATATGTCACTCAGACCCACTGAATGATGCACTGGAGCACCAGCATGTCAGATCAAAAACACACATGCAGAGGGACCAGCTGCCAAAACACAGAATAACCTCAGCTTACAGTTCAGGCACTGGTGGTGTTGCTTTTCTGCTTATCACTCCACTACATCTTTACTTAGCGAGTAGATGTTTTCTGCTGTGTCAGTGTTCAAAGTCTCACATGGAACATTTAACGGTGTCGTTGTCTCTGTCTGCGTTACATGTATAACAACTGCTTTCACACATCACTGCTGAGTCACGTTTTACTTGTCATGTCTCTGTCTGTGTTTGTTTCACAACAGAACAGCAAAAGCAGCTTTCTCATCCTGAAGGTACGCACTGAGGTCTCGTTGATGTCTAAAACATGTAACACTTTTTTTTTTCATTCGTTCGACTGCTCGCAGAAGTGCTGCTTTTATTAAAGCGCAACACCTTTTTCATTTCTCGACTAAAACCATCTGTGTGCGCACCACCACCCCCTTTTCCCGGTTTCATGACTAACTTTTGTTTGTTAGTTTGATACAAGCGTCATGAAGTAATAAGTCAAGATACTGGCGCCAACATGTTACCATTTTTGGGAACGCAGTACGATGCTTAGGTTATACAGAACACATTTCATTTCCTTTTTGTTTGATGCTGTTTTTCTTTTGTGTTGCTTCTTATCAAACCTGGGATTTTAATCTTAGACTTTATTGTTCCCGTCACCAGTGGGTTACATGGAAAAATTACTGATTAGCATGAACTTGAGTTTTTTAGGCCGGCTTCTGTTCTTTCATTTATTTACTTGACATTGGACAGACCTTATCCTTATCATTTAAATCCAAGTGTGTGTGACTGAACCTGTCTTACCACTGAGAAGTCATGTAGAAAACAAAGACAATATACTTTCTGATATTTGTCATGTATTTTATGTAAAAGGGGCATGAAAGGCAGTATACCCAAAATGCATTGTGTAGCTTACTAGGATGAGCTGGTGACCCATATTCCAAAGACATTTTTCATCTGGATTGCTGGAAATACACTGGTGGCACTATTATTAAGAGTCTCCCTGTTGAGTTTATTTGCAGTATAAAACACACGTAGCCAGCTCAGTAAACTGAGCTACAGGCTTACTCTGCTTGGTAGAGCGGTATTAATATCTGAATCACTTCATTGAGTGAAGTATCCCAGTAAGTAATGGTGGTTTCCCAGCATAAACAATAAATGGGTGTTGGAAGTAACTTAAGTAAATAATGTACTGCATCTGAAATGTTCTGAAAAGTTATTTCTTGCACAAATTTTATATAATCTGTCTTCATGCTTTTTGGTTGCTTGTGCTGCCATATCACTGGAAATGTGTTGTGAGCTTAGCTTTCTTTTAGCTTATTTTTCTTGTGCTTCACAGACCCAACCCCAGAAAGGGACAAAAGCCCCGAATCCAGAAGTGAAACTGTCAGTCCAGTCCCTGAAATGGACGGGAAGCGGCAGCGGCTATCACTGCACTCCCCTGTGCTGAGTCCTCTCAACAAGCCCATTGTGCCTGTACGGGTGAGCGATTAAACCAGCTGTCGAATGAAGACTAATCGACTCTCTGTAAATGTTTAATGGGTGCTT